TATGGCTTAAATTTGCTTTCTTACAACATATATATAATTTGTTTTTAATTATCTAAAATTTTAACACGGGTTTTGCTTGGTTTAAATCCTAATTACCCAGATTGATTACCTCTATTTTAAAATATGAATAACGAGAATAGTATCATGATGAATGCACACACCTATGACGTTCAATTGGTACAACTTTACAGGCAATTGATTAGTGCATAACATGTAAAGCAAAAGCTGAAAAAAAAAACTGATAAAATATCGGAAAAAGAGTCGTTATTTCCATCGAATGTAATTATGATTACTATTGGACCACCTTGTATGTTATGGGTATGGCTTCAGAAATTTGAAATTTCCCATGCTGAAACATTCAAAGTCTTTTTGAGTCCGCCTACTACTCCCCCACTTGTACAACAAAACATTTAAATTAGTATGTTTTAAGAAAATAAAATTCATCAACTTTGAAGATTTTGCAAAATTTATATATTTTGTATTGTGTAGATGTCTAATTGAGACTTTTACCTCTGTTTTTTAATGCAACGTTCAAAGCACGGCTAAGTTGCTATGAGCCAATACTATACTCTTACGTAAATCACGTTTAAAATATTCACGTCGTGTAAATCAAATGTCACAGTGCAATATTAGAAGATATTAGCCGTGAGAAACTAGTAACAATCGATAGATTCTTTAACAACAAGCTTATATGATACCTTGTCGTAATAAATGAAAATGTTGATTAATTATTGTACCAAACAACAAACACCAATCACCAAACCAAAGACATTTAATCCTAAAAAAAGCCACAAGTGTCTTTACGCTTGAGCAAAGATAATTGTCCTGTAATTGTAATTAATTAACTATGATTATAATTTGACATTGTCCGGATACGAGTCCTCCTTTGTATTAGGCTGATTTTAGGTGATAACCAAATGTATAGAATGTACAAAGTTAGGTCGTCAAGTTTTATTTATTAGGCTGGTTTTCGTAGTTTATGTGAGATTTTACCTTATCCACGATTGGTTCGTCGAGACTAACGATAATATCGATGTTATCGCTACATCTAACAATACGCGCAATAAAGTAATGTATTACTGAAAAAAACGTTATTAATGGTTGATCAAAATTTAATCACTCCACATTTTTAAAGAAAAATCGCATAACGGCATAAAGGTCCACTCTATATATTCCTCTCCTACATTATTGTAAGAGAAAAAATATGCGGCTATTCCGGAAAACTATAAAGATCAAATTTCTAAATTCTAATAGTAATATTTTCGTCCACAAAAATGATAGAAATTGTTATATTTTCATGGGAGATATTAGTTGGTATTGGTAGTGGAGAATAAACTTTTATGATTCATGAACCATACCAAAGCTGTCTTTGTTTCGGTATCCCCTGCAAACCTAGAAAGTATCAAGTCCGATCACTCATATTATAATAACCTCTCAAACTATATTATAATTCATTCATATGTTAAACTTTACGAGTTATCATTTTATCAAATAAAACCCTTCAACATTCCAAAGGTTTATGTCGCTTGTTAACTTTATTATATAAATTTAAAATTACTTAATTCCATCTTTCGGCCAACTTCAGTTTTTCTGATAAAAAATTTTAGTGACAGACAAATTTAGCTTGTTTTTTATGCGAATTAGTTAAAAAATCAACCAAATCGCC